TCTTTCCAATGACACCAATGATGGGGCATTATTCCTTCCCACTGACACCATTGATGGGGCACTCTTCTTTCCAATGACACCAATGATGGGGCATTATTCCTTCCCACTGACACCATTGATGGGGCACTCTTCTTTCCAATGACACCAATGATGGGGCATTATTCCTTCCCACTGACACCATTGATGGGGCACTCTTCTTTCCAATGACACCAATGATGGGGCATTATTCCTTCCCACTGACACCATTGATGGGGCACTCTTCTTTCCAATGACACCAATGATGGGGCATTATTCCTTCCCACTGACACCATTGATGGGGCACTCTTCTTTCCAATGACACCAATGATGGGGCATTATTCCTTCCCACTGACACCATTGATGGGGCACTCTTCTTTCCAATGACACCAATGATGGGGCATTATTCCTTCCCACTGACACCATTGATGGGGCACTCTTCTTTCCAATGACACCAATGATGGGGCATTATTCCTTCCCACTGACACCATTGATGGGGCACTCTTCTTTCCAATGACACCAATGATGGGGCATTATTCCTTCCCACTGACACCATTGATGGGGCACTCTTCTTTCCAATGACACCAATGATGGGGCATTATTCCTTCCCACTGACACCATTGATGGGGCACTCTTCTTTCCAATGACACCAATGATGGGGCATTATTCCTTCCCACTGACACCATTGATGGGGCACTATTCTTCCCAATTACACCAATGATGGGACAGTATTCCTCTAACTGACACCAACGATGGGGTACCTCTGTTCCACATGTCACCAATGATGGGACAGTATTCCTCCCACTGACACCAAATGATGGGTCACTATTCCTCCCGCTGACACCAATGATGGGGCACTATTCCTCCCGCTGACACCAATGATGGGACACTATTCCTCCCGCTGACACCAGTGATAGAGAACTATTCCTCCCTCTGATACCAACAAAGGTGCATTATTCTTTCACTCTCTGACTACAGACGCCAGGTCATGTTTTCACTGCTCACCAACCCAGGGATGTTTACTATTTCTATAGGGGACACAGTCTGGCCCTTCTAAGGTCTGAAGGACAGTGAACTGGTCCATTGTTTACACAGTCTGAGGACCCAGAGTTAGATGAAAACCTTGTACTGCTGTTGTCTTGACAACCATGTGTTTTCCTTCCCCAAGTGACAGCTACTGCGTGTTGCCAATCATGGGGTTGCCCATCTAACAAATGTAACTATGGACATTGGGGTACACTTTTGAATAAGTGATCAGTGTGTATGCATAACCTGCAGAGCACACATGGTAATGTGAGTCTCCACCTAAAAATAACAAAATATTGATATGTATTTGCATGAATAATTAATGTATAGAAAAAACAACTCCACTGTAACCCAAAGCTTCCCTTTTATTCTATCATATAAGAAGAAATAATAGATGCAATTTGTTTTCTTTTTATGAAGATGTAAGATTTTCTTTTTTTTAAGGTGGACTTTGCCTTTAAATATAAAATCGTGCTGCTAATAGAGGGCTTTTCCTGATTTCTGCACCTATTACAATGGAACCCTCCCATTATTAAATTATGTTTTTCTTATAAGAGGCATTGCATAAAGCTCTCATGCTGCATGTAACATATCTCTGACATCTCCCTGAAAGAAGTCCTTTGACTACACAAAGCACATAGACTGAGCCCTGTGCTGTCATGATACAAGTGTCACCCAACCAGCCCCTCCCCCTCCTGAGTCGCAGCATCCGGCCGCAGCCATGACAACAAGGTTGTGACTAGTTCCCATTCTGCAGATTCACCTAGTCAATTCTGAGGATGGGAACTAGCTTGCTCAATGTGAACTGGCTAGATCCCATCCCACAGAATAATCTTTTGCCCCCTAGTGGTCAGGTCATGTATAAGGATGGGAACTAGACAGATCACTATGAAGGAGCTACTTCCCATCCTGCTAAATTATCTTTCTGTATTATTACCATACAGGTTATATAGAGGGATGGGAACTAGACAGATCACTGTGAAGGATCTAGTTACCATCCTGCTAAATTACCTTTCTGTATTATTACCATACAGGTCAGCATAGAGCAGGGGTGGCAAACTCAAATTCATCGGGGGCCGCATCAGCAGTATGGTTACCCTCAAAGGGCCGGTTGTATAGGACTTGTACGGCTCTCACGGGGGACCCGAACGTCCCGGATCGCCTCTGTAGTCCGGC